AGTCAGTGAGGGACTAAATCCTGTCAACAACCATGTACGTGAGCTTGGGAGAGGAATCCCAAGCTCTGTAGTCATGCCTTAAGGTGAGATGGCACCTCTAGACTGTGATCTCATGTGAGATCTTGAGTCAGAGGCACACAGCTAAGCCACTCCCGAATTCCTTACGCACAGAAACTGTGAAATGATAAATGCTGTTTTGAGGTAATTCATTACACAGCAATAGAAAACTAACGTACTGTGAGATTTTTATTGTAAATCAGCTGCAATTTAAACTACAAATAACTAATATGAGAAAATGTGACAATGAATTCAGTCATTAGCACCCAGATTTTCTAATTTATCTTTGTCTCATATACTTTCCTCTTAGTAAATACAACTTGGAGGTAAAGTTCTATTTTATTTTTTTTTCTAAAATTTTTATTGTACATTCACATGCATTTGTAAGAAATAATACAGAGAGATCCCTTGTATACTTTGCTCAGTTCTCCTAGTGGTAACATTTCACAGAACTATATAGTACAGTATCATAACTAGAATACTGAAATTGATATAACACACCTATCTTATACAGATAGCCTTAGTTTTACTTGTACTTGTGTGTGTGTGTATGTGTGTACATTTTTTACAATTTTCTTTTTTTTTTTTTCCTTTTTGTCTTTTTTTGTGATCGGCAACGGATCGCAACCCTCAGTGTCACGCCCGTACCGGACCAGGACCGGCAACGGGATCGCAACCCTCGGTGTTGTGCCCGCACCTCGCTCAGCCAGTGAGCGGCCGGTCTGTATGTGGGATCCGAACCCTCGACGGGAGCGCCGCCCTGTAGCAGTGCGCCACCGGGCCAGCCCCTACAATTTTCTTACATACTCAAATTACATCCCTTTGTAATTAGAATCTAGCCATTATATTATTCCTTATAAATGTTCTGTCTGATAATAAAAGTTGTTAAGAAACGTGATTTCAGAGTTTATTTCACAGTTCCACATTAATAAACTGAAAATGGACTTAGTAACGAATAAAAACCACTCACAGGTTATGTAATTGTCAATGGAAAATTCACTTGCCCGAAAAGTTTTCTTGAAAGCAAACTATAAAATAAAATGTCATCCTTTGCCCAGAATTAATGTATTTTGTGTTTGAAATTCAGACGTGAAATAATATTGAATGTGGTTGAAATTTTAACACTGCCTCTTTTTCCTCTTATGAAAGAAGTGAGAACTTATGATTTGTATAACAATGCCTCAGAAAATCAATATATCCAAGTTTTTATTTTATGATCAGGCGGTGTTAAAATTCATACTTAAACATCTAAACACAAACAGCCAAGGAAAAAGTCAAGCTGATTATGCATCATGCAAAGCCAAATACTTTTGCATAAAAGAGAAACCTTAGAGGAAAACAAAGGGATACCTACTTTCTGCTGCTAGAAGTCCTAGGAGGAAGGCAGCATATGGACAAACAAACAGTATGATTTTAGAGCAAGCAGGTTATCAAGCCACAGTTGGGCCCACTAGATGAGCCACTAGAAGCATGGTCCCCCAGCTGACCCCAAAGTGAACCCTCCAGTTATATGAGCACACTCACTGGGATTGTTCAGATTTCAGACATCAAACACTGGGTTCTGATTCTGACTCCTTTGATTTGAAATATCAGAACAGAATATTTCCATTTTTAATTATTAAGAAACAAAGCAACAGTACACTGTTTATCATAAGATTAAACTCAATGAATTCTAGGAAATACATAATGGATGAATTTCAATAATCAAAATAGAAAAATATCTTCTACAGAAAAATTGTTTTACATTGTAAACAACATACCTAAACATGTTTGACTTTTCTTTAGATGACAAATTGGGAAATTGATTAGTTTTAAATTGTGATTTTAAATATTCATATTTTCCTAAATGCATATAGTATTACTCTTTATCATGATAAGACTTGATTTAAGAAAACAATATGCTATATTTTGTGAGCAGGCAGCTTTACCACTCTTCTCAAACTTCGGAGTGTCATATATCAGTAGAATTTAAGGAAACTTTTGAGGACCAAATTAGGATTGACAGTTTTTAATTCTGTCAAGAAAGGTCATTAAAAAGATCTACCTTTCATTTATTATCATTCCATAAAAAGAATAGAAAAGGCATTACCTAAAGATGGAAAACAAAGACAATCCATCTCAAGAAAGAGCAGTTGGTGACCTTACACTGTTCATTCAAGCATGCACTCTCTCTCTTTCTAGCCTCTCCATCCCTGTCTCTCCACAACCCCACCCTACAAATACGTGCTCTATGATCATTTTTCTCTTTTGCCACGGCTTGAACGAATTTTCACGTAACGATGAAAAATGCTTTGTGTTTTGTACTATAAAGCACACCCATGAAAATTTAAACAGAAAGACACTGGAAAGGATAACTTTGGGAACTTAAAATAAATGATGCAGAATTTAAGCATTAGTATGAATAGAGAAAAATTTAGGCTTGAAAATTAATGAAAATATTAAAAAATAAAAATGAAATATAAAATAATAAAATGAATAATAAAAAATGAAAATACAGATGTTTTTATTTACGAAAGTGCAGAGCTCTATGTGAGTCCAGATAAAATATACAATTGGCTTTTTGCAATCAACTATACAACTATTACTATTGGTTGCAGAAAAGGACACTTACTGGTAGATAGCTATTTGATAAGTAATGCTGATCACAATAGTAGAATGCCTCCCTTTAAATGGATTAGTATTAAAAATTAATTTTAGGAATGTATGAATAATTCCTGATATCTATGTGAAATTTGGAAAATATTAGGATTTTCTTCAAAATTTTCCTTTGTTTTTGACTTCTGAACACATAGAAATTTCTTAATTTTCATTTAGGGTAGGTGATTAGTATTAGACATATACATAGCATTTTAATTCTTCCATTTTTTCATTTGTAGCACACAGACAGTGCCATTCAAAAATACACAGACTGCTGGCAAGATCATTAAGATCCAGGAATTAAAAAAAAGAAAGAAAAGAGTAAAAAAGTAATAAAGAAACAGGGTGTGGCTGCAGGAAAGGGAAGGCAAGAAAGAATGCTAAATTGTGAACAACTAATTTAAGGGTTTGTAGGCTATCCACAAGATGGTGCACGACATTTCTCTTTTGTTTAAAAATCAAGTACTGTAATCAGAAACTATTTCAACCAAATCATTAGAGACTGTACTGAAAGACAAAAAAACTGGGCAATAAAAATGTATTTAATAGAAAATAAAGATGTCTATAAATATAGATAATTCCTTTCCCTGAAGGAAAAATCCAACTCTTCCCAGAAAGGAACACTTAAGAGCTCACTGAGTTCTTGCTAGGCAGAGGTAAATATTCAAGGATAACAATGAAATTAGGTCTATGAAGTGACTGGCCAGGACAATACTGCTCTCTGGGCCCAGTTCTAAAGATGAAAATGGTAGCAGAGATCTTGACCTAAAATCTCAAAGAGATTTATCCTAAATATATTCCAAGTAAGTGACTATATCACATTGTCACAGTATGACATAAAAACCGTTATTGGATCCTCTCCGCCTAAGTAGGGTCAACTGTAATCTGAGTGTGAAGAGAGAATTTCAAGCTAACAAAAAAAGTTACAGGTGAATGGAACAAAATGGACTAAGAGAAAAAAAGATAGACATAAAACGACAGGGAGATTAGGAACCATACTTATAAACACAACTACATCCTTTTCTTTCATGTGACAAGGACTTTGGATAATCAGAAGAGGAAGCACAAGAGGAAAACAGTCAGCACAAGAGGAAAACAGCAAGGCAGAAATTTCTCCACAAAGAGTCTTTTCTCTAAAATTTCTATTTGTGAATGTTTTTGGAAATCACCTTCATTCAAAAGAGGAAGATTCATATCCCAATTGGTAAAAGTCAAAATAAAGAACTATGTACCTGCTGGAATGGGAAGTTTGATCTTGTCATTTTGCACAAGGTATAAGCGTATACTAAATGGCAGGAAATTCTGCGTGTTTCTATGTGCACATACATGCAAACAGAGGAGGGTAGAAGCAGAAATACTGATAGCTGTTCGTGGTCCCAACAGGGAAGAAGCATTAGCACACTTGTTCTTCCTGTATTGCTAACGATGGAACGAACAACTCATTCTTTAGGAATGGCCCTGGGCCTTGACTCCAATGGCAATACATGAATATTAAAGAAGCCAGTCCAAAAGTACAAAAATCAAATCAGCAGCACAATGTTGACATGACAAATACACAGTGACTCTAATGAAAGAAAGAAGAAAAGCTAAGGCAAGAGAACATATGACTCAGGAGTTAAGTAAATAAAGAAATACATAAATAAAATTTAAAAATTCTAACACACACACACATACACGCATCTACATATACATATAAATGGGTCCTATGAATTTTTAGCAAATGATCCTTGAGAATACCTCACTGGTAAGATGGGTGTACCTATATACATTTCATCAAAATAGATAACTTCATCTATGTTGTTACCTCTTGAACACTTGTATATATAGACTTCACGTAGAGAGAAGAACTTGATAATTGTTCCAAGAGATAATTCACAAGACAGCTTTCCACTGAAAGATTCAAATCAAAGCAGTGCTATCCCAAAGTCTATCTAATATGGTTGACATGGGTAAAATCTTACATCAGAAGTTTTTGTTGCGGGAGAAGGTAATCAGAAAGATCCAAAAACCCTGACTACAATGTTGAATTGGATAAAGTGCAGTGTTGTGTCTGGAAAGGGGAAGTATTACTGTGGTAAAAAGAAAAAAGTGAAATGGATTTGGAGCAGTAGGGGAAAGAAACTTTGGTATTAAAATGAAAAAGAACAAGACACATGTAGATAGATAGGATTTGGTTGCTGATAAACTTCCTTAGAATCCCTTGCAGGATTTGATTAAATTAACAGAAAAAGTTTATTTTTAATGAAAGAGAAAGGACGTAGACACCAAATGAGCCACACAGGTGAATGAATGAACTATCCAATTACCTGAGGAGGTAGGGTCTTCGGAGAAATCTGGCAACTCTTCAGGGGGATCCCCATAGAATGAGTTGAATTTGTGACTTGACACAGCGGCTAGTACTGCACCCTAAAGCAAAGAAATGAAACAAAAATATTATTTAAACAAATAATTATACAAACATAAAAAAGTTAATCAAAGAATGGTTATTTATCTTAAGACTTATTGAGAAAGTCAAATATATAGAAGATGATGGCTGGGAGAGAGGTACATTAAAAATAATTTTGGATTCCTTTAAATAAATTACACATGCATATACTAGAATAACAGTGTTGGGAACTGCAAAAGTATATGAAACACTTACATCTTGAACACAAACATGTACCACACAATGGAATATTCTGTAGTCATTATAAAACGATGCTGCAGAGTGATGATTAATGAAAAGGAAAAATGTTTGCGATGAATCAACATGAAAAAGGTTTTAAAACAATGTATGGTCTCATTTTGGGGGGGAAAAAAGTTAATATAAATGTAAAAGACTGAACATATACCAGAATGTTAAAAGTATTAATTATCTCTGGGTGATAGGATTATGAGCCACTCTCTTTTTAAAAAAATATTTCCCCCACTTTCTTTTTGTTTTTAACAATGATTGTATTACTTCTGCACAGTAATTCTCAATCAGGCTACACATCAGAATCAACTACCTGCGACTCATTAAGCCACATGCATAGCCTCCCCTGATTCCTAGTTGCCATATTGAGTGTATGACATCCCTTGGGACTGCTGAGTGGAAAAGGGTTGGAGTTATTGTTTTAGTAACAGGAAGAATGATAAAACTTCTGGGTGTGTTCCCTAGCTCTACCACTTTCTAGCTACATGACGCTGCTTGAGTAAATCATTTAACCTCTCTAGATTTTCTTATCTGTAAAGTGAGGATATTAAAACCGACATTACTTACCTTACAGGATTGTCAGAAGTCATAATGTATATGAAAGTGCTCTGCAAACTGTAAAGCATTACGTTAAGTGCAAATCATTACTAAGCCTACTGATATAGAGCTAGAACATGAGCACAGTCTTCTGTTGGTCTAAGTAGAATTGCTCATTTAGGTAGTTTAAGTATCAAATCACCTAAGTAATCTAAGTTTTAAGTTGTCTCAGTCTAAATTTTAAATATTAAACTCTTGCATTTTTCTGAAAAGAAAGATAAACCTTTTATGTGTGTAGGCGTCTGTTAATAAGTACATGCAAACATTAATAGAAATACATGTCCACGAAGTTCACTTTTTGGGGGATCATGTTAGGGTTTCTTTCTATAAATATAAATTGAAAAACACTGTAGAAAGAGAAGATCAAAAAAGTAGAAGTGATCTTGATGCTACCATTCCAGGCAACATTTTAGATTTCCTTAAGTCCAGGATTAATGCATGAGAGGTTCTTATGCTACCATATTGAAAAAACAGTAGTGAATGTTGAGTTCTTCCTTCTACAGAAGAACTTATTTCACTTTACATATTATACATGTTCCCTAAAATCTGGGCGGGAATGACATTTTCCTATATCAATCATATTTCCCACACACTGAAACTAGACTTTTAGAGATGCTTTATTTTTACTTCCAAATGAAGTTCAACTCAGTTTCTTAATATGTCAGTTTTATGTTTCAACACCTGTTCTAGCTACTATAGTTAAAAATCTATAAATAAATATTTATACTGCTAGTAAAACACTATTTAAAAGTGCCCTGAGGGGTAAATTCTTTTGAAACAATAGTATCAAATTCCTAATTTATCTGTCTCATGGCTAGCAGTTTTATTTAGTTCTCTAAACTCAGTGACTACACATGGTTCAAATATTCAATGCAAAGCTATTATGTAAAACAGCAAAAATAATTCTGAAATAGTTTATAGATCTGCAGAGTTTTACTAGAGTCTGAGAGTCAACGTTGGAGATGATTCATACTAAGAGATTCATTTTGCAGATGAGGGAACTGAAGTCCAGAGAGGCTTAGCAACCTGTTAATAAGGTCGCTGCTAACTTAAAGATATAATAAAGAATAGACAGAATTGAGGTTCACTGACTACTCTCTCTAGTTGCAGGATTTCTAGTGTAAGAGGGGTCAATGATTTTTTTCTGTAAGGGGACAGACAGTAAATATTTTAGGCTTTGAAGGCCATATGGTCTTATGCAACTACTCAACTCCACTGTAGCATGAAATCAGCCATAGACAAGATGTAAATAAACGTATGTTGCTGTATTCCAATAAAACTTTACACACAAAAATAGGCAGTAGGCTGGATTTGGTCCCTAGGTTGTAGTTTGCAAAACCCTGTACTACACTATTACTACTAAAGAGCCTGTGGGTACAAGAATATAAAATCAGATCTTATACGAGTAGTTCTCCAAACTTTCTGGTTTATTAAACCCTTGATAAAGAAGTTTTCAATCTGCTTTAATTTAGAAGGTATACTTTCGTATGCTTTAAGAGTGAAACATAATAATTTTGAGTTAAGAAGATTATTCACAATCTGTTATGATAATAATACTAAAGTTGCAATTTTCTATCAAGCAAATTAACCTAGAAAGGAGAAGGCAGATTCTAAATTCAGAGAAAAAGAGAACTATAAATAATTATTCACTTAATCTTACAGTTTTCTTGAAATGTCAATATGTCAAACATCAAAATGGAATGCTTCTGGCTTGATGATTCTGTCTTGCATTTAAGGAAGTGGAAAACAAGAACATGGTTAGCTCAGACTTCTGCTAAGTTAAACTACTGACTGAATGCACTTAAGGAGGCAACAAAATAAGGAACACAAGAGTTGAACAGAGATGTACTGCTAACTTGAAGACAAAAACAAAAGACCAATACTCCCTTTTTGGTACTTCTTAACCAGGTTCAAAACAAGCACCATGAAGTTTGATAGGCACAAAGGCAGGGAGGTACATTTTAAAAAGTCTGAATACAAAACACAAGTTTGAGATGTAGAATAATTGGCTTTGCACCCAAATGGCAAGGTAACACATAATCATACTGCTGTCTGAGGAGGGAAATACACCAAGGAAATATACTGAGAGGGGGAAAGCCCTTGACCGGAACACACCAGTGCAAGTGTGACAAAGGAATTTGAGAGAGAATCATCCTATTAGGATTCAGAACACTGAAATCAAAGCCCTACAAAGGGTGGAGAATTTGGGGAGGTTGAGGTCAAACAGAGATGACCAGAAGGCTAGAAAATCATTTCAAGGTACAAATGTTAAAGGATTTGTGTTGATTACAATTAAGAGTTAGGTCCTAGATGATAACTAGGTGAGACAATTGATTAAATCATAACTTCTGATATCTCTCCATACAAATACAACCAAAGTTACCATTCAGTTTAGTCTGCATAGCCTATACATATATGATACTCAAACATAATCTAAACACAGCTCTCAAACCTGGAATTTTATAACATTAAGTCAGGACATATGACTAAAGGAGGCTGAAGTAACTTCTCTGAAGAAAATGAAAAATGAGACTTGTAAGTGTACTAGATGTGGCTATATTTAGGAGCAATTGCATGGAATTTTAGAAATTCTTTTGGGCCTGCATGGAAGTATTTTATAAAGATGGTCTTAAATGTACATAATAACTCTCAAAAGCTATATTGCCCAAGAGGAAGCAATAAATTCTATATTTCAGAATCACAAATTAATAGAATTGCTTTGTAAAATCAATATAGGAAGGTCAAAATCACTTCAATTATTATGTGTGGAACTGTTCATACCAGAAAAACAGTTTTCAGTTTTTGGAATCAAAGGTGTCTTTTACACATTAGATTTAATGCTCTAATTAACTGGAGCTCACAATTGCTGTCCCAACTTACTGCCTTTGTGCAAACCCTCACTACAGGAGAGGACTGTATGTTAATGCTGGGTTTTGTTAAGCACAAAGGTCTTTGATAAATCCTTGAGTTACCTCTTGTTGAATTAACAGAAAGGGGAAGAATGCCAAAAGCAACTATTATAGCTTCCTGGTAGACCTCTCAAAAGGTGCTGCTTAGGTATAAGTATTACTCTTGGAGGTGCCAAGAGTACACTTATACTGTACTGTAGCAGTACAGTACAATAGAAATTTCTGTGCTGATGGAAACGTTCTATACCTGTACAGTCCAATACAGTAGCCATCAGCCACAGGTACTGTTGGATATTTGAAATGTGGCTAGTGTAATTTAGAAGCTGAATTTTAAATTTTATTTAATATTAATTTATTAAAATTTTAAAAAGTAAGTAGCTACATTAGACCAGTGGATATTGCGTTGGATAGTGCAGCTCTATAAATTAGTCATGTGCCACATAATGATGTTTTGGTCAATAATCGCATATGTGAGGGTTGTCAGAGCAATAGGCTAGGCATGCAGTTAGCTATAACACCTAGGTTTGTGTAAGTACACTATGTTATGTTTGCACAACAATGAAATAGCCTAACGACAGATTCCTCAGAATGTATGTACATAGCCCCATCACTAAGCAACACATGACTGAACTGAAAAACAGCACTCCTAAACAAACTTTACGCAGTTATGCACAATTCAGGAACACAAGAGACCAATCGGTAAGTCAGAGAAGCATGCAGGCTATCATTCTGCAATTTGCAAAACAGGGAATAAATGGGTTTTATACTCTGAATTGAATCACATGGATTCAACTCACCATTTCCTGAACTGATAGCAATAAACTTAACCCAAATACAGAATACTGTTTCTACCTATGTAGAATTTCTTTGACATACTTTAAATAGGGAAATTTGCTTTCTAGGGGTAGAAATAATTCATGAAGCAAAGGGGATGGCTTCTAGAACAGATTCCCTCCTGAGCCTCTTCCCTAGATAGACAAACTCAGATACTCAAAGACACTCCTTTGCTCAGTAATTCCTTCAGTAGATGATGCCCGTGGTTAGAGTACATTTGTGCAGATTTTCCACACAGCCTTAATCACATAGTCTGTCCCATGCATGCTAATATTCAGTTTGAGAAAATACGACCCTCATATCTAGTCCTGTGCTCAGGATTATGTAGTTTATTAAGGGAGTATTGTTTCTAGGGGATTTTTTTCCCCCTGAAAGTATTAAAATTCTAGAGT